CGAACCAGCAGACGAACCGTGGAAACACCCCGACGAGCTCCCTTATATTCGTCCGGAATGGACTGAATCAGAGTTCCACACCTACCTTTTTGAAAATGCATTTTCGGTTCACGGGCGGACACATCGCGAGGATCCATGGTGTGCTATTACACTCCCGCCCTCGTTGCGCACAAAGGGGACAAGTGAAGAGGGAGATGGAAGTGGAAGTGGAAGTACCCGGGTGGTAGTGCCGAAGGGATATCGTCTCCCACTTATGTTCGCGATAAGCTTCCAGTGGGAAAGTTTGAAACTCGTCATGAGTAGTAGGTCAAGGGATGAGGAGTGGGAAGATTACAAGTGGGATATCTTGCATGTCTCGAGGCTTTGTCATGCGTTTCTCGAAGCAGCGTGCAAAGCAGGGGGGAGGGGGACAACCATGAATAAGACGTGGAGGTGCCCTTTATTTGATAGAGCTATTACGCGGTATTATCGACGTTGGTTGGTTAACCGCGATGAGTTCCTCCATGCGTTTTGGGAGGAATTCGGGAAGGAGGAGTACGAAGAAGATGTGTGCAAAAAATGTACGTGTATTCCTGTTCGTGTTCTAATGTATTTATATTTATTTCTTTACTTATAGCTTGGTTGACATTTGTACTCAAAGGCCACAAAGGCTTCTGTCTGACGCGCGAGGAGGTCAACGAGGGTTTGAAGTGGGAGGAAAAGACTAAGGGTCTCGAGCTCGGCGAAGACGGGAAAATGCGGTGGATCCTCCCGGAAGTTGATTCTAGGCCAAACTCTGCAAATGATGTGCTGGATGGACAACACAAGTTGACGGCTGAGAAGGCTGGGAAGGCGGGGGTGACGGATAAGGAGAGGGAGAAGGAGAAGGAGGAGACGAAGGTTACGGCGAAGCGCAAGAGGAAACGAGATAGCGAGCCGGGAGGTCAGCCAGAAGACGATCGGAATCCCGAGTTGCATCCTTCGGATAATGAGCGGAGTACAACGAAGGACAAGCATAAGGATAAACCGAAATCGCCAAAGGCCAAGGAGACGGCGAATACGAAGGGGTTGGAGTCGAAGCATAAGGGGGCAGATGAGGGAGGTGAGACTCACGACAAGGTTAAATCGAAATCCTCGAAGGTAGGAGAGAAATCGAAGGCGAAGGAGACTAAATCAAAGGATAAAGCAGCGGACGATGGGAAAGACAAGGAAACGGCGAATGCGATGGAGGTGGAATCAAGGGATAAGGAGGTGGGTAAAGGAGACGAACTTCACGACAAGGCGACGGGGAAAGTCAAATCGAGATCGTCGAAGTCAGGAGAGAAAGAGAAGGCGAAGGAGTCAAAATCGAAGGATAAAGAGGCGGGAAATGAAAAGGAGAAATTGTCGGCGATTCCAAAGAAAACGGAAAAGGCGACGACGAAGGAGAAACAGAAGTCCTCAAGACCTAAGGGCAACGGTAAGGGCAATGCGAAGGAAAAGCCATCTGTGCCACCCATTCCGTCTGCATCCGCTCCAGGTCCCGCTTCAGCGGCCATCTCTGCGACGAAAATCAAAATCAAGAAGGCTAAACCGTCCAGTGACGAACGTCCGAAAAAGCGACCTCGTGTTGACAAACCTCGTTCTGAATCTTCTTCGTCTCTGCTCCCATCTACTGTTTCTCCTGTCTCCGTGTCCCTGCAAACGCCATTGCCTCCATTGCCTCAGAATTCACAGTCTGACGCGAACCCTACCCCAAGTAGGTTCATTATTTACAACATTAAAATTACAACTAAAAATCGCACTCTGACAGCCCATGACTTTTTGGAACGCATAGAACGGATTCTTGATGAAATCGTCACCTCTGACACGAGCGATGAGGGAATCGAGGCGATGATCAGCAAAAGGAAGGATTTTTTGAGGCTCAATCAGGTGCAGGGGCCTTTCAATGAAGGGAATGATGGGAATGGAGACGAGGAGAAGATGGACGTCGATTCGGCTGTGGCGTCGCAACCGACAGAGGCGCACCCCCTACCGCCCGCATCTCCGTCTACCCTTGTTTCTCGTGCGGCTTCAAACTCGGCTTCAACGCCAATCCCACAAGATGTTCCCAGATCATCGGGCTCTTCGCAAACTCAAACTCCATCACAGTCACAACCGCAATCTCAATCTGTTGCTCACGCCTCGAACAAACAGCGGCTCTTTGGGACCTTGCGTCCTGCAGGGGAGAAAACCCAGACAGCAAAAGGACAGGAGAAAGAGAAAGAAAGAACATCGCCGGATAAACGCCAAAATAGCTGGGACGCGCGGGTTAGTAAGGCATTAGAGCGAGCCAGGACAGGGAAAATCAGTGGCGTTCAGTCTGCATCGACTTCTGGTTCGGTTACTGTTGTAGCTGATGCCACTGACGCCACGTCGAATACGAGTGGGAGTGGAGCGATTCCATCGCAGACAACGGTGGCGAAGATTAATAGTATTTCTAATGGTGAAGACAAGGGGCCTGAGGCGGGAATCACTGGTAAAACGGCGAGGACAATTACGGTGCGGTCTCATGAAGTCGGCGATAAGGCAGGATGGATCTGGAGCTTGCGTGGTCAGAGGGAAGGGCGGCGGTCTGACGGTAACGATGCTGAGAAGAACGCAGATATGATCACAGAGTCTGAAGGCATAACAGGAACGACTGTGAATTCAGAACGTGCGTGTTCCTTCCCGCTATTTCTTTCCGTTCTTGGTCTTCCAAGTTGTTCGGCGCTGACTTTTCCTGCCTTTCCTATCTCATTTCTCTATCCAGTTTCTGGAAACCAAAGCAAACAGACTACCTCTGACCCTACTGATACTGTTGCTACTGCCTCTAAAGTTTCGTCTCTTGATGACGCGCCAAGTCTTACTCCTGCCTCTCGCGCTGCCCAACCTGCCGCTCCCTCCGCCTCCACTTCTGATGTTTTCACCGGTCCTCTCTCTCTTGATGCTGATCTACCCAGAAACGCTACTGTCGCGCAACCTGTTTCTGAGACCGCTTTAGACATACCCTTCACACGACTATCACCGCCTAACGAGTCTGTTGCTAGTGTAAATTCTATTCCTCTCGCCAACTCTGGGGTCGCAAATGCTGGTGTTGCTTTCAGTGTCACTGGACATGCAAACCTCGAAAGCGACCCTTCTACGATCACTACGTCTGCTGAACATGTGGATAACGATGGGACTCAGGCAATCGAGAGAACTCTCTCAGCGCTTGAACCTGCGTTCAACGTTCAAGTTTCGCTCTCCCGGCAAGAATCCCAGGCGGATACGCAGACTGATGTGACTGTCAATCCCACCCAATCCCAAATGAAATCACCACCACCATTCCCCTCCCCTCCGCAGCAGAAAAGCCCACCCTCACAAGAGAGCGGAAGTCCTTGTTTGCATTCAAACCGTCACCCTCCACCCCTACCAGGCCCGCCATTTAGCGGAAGAAGTTCCACGCTAGAGGAATTCCAGCTGACGACCGCGGCCTGGTCCGTTTCGGACCACGAGAGTAGTTCTCAACACGAGAATGATAATGACGGTGAACAGGAGTACGACTACCATCATCCTCATCAACATCAGAATACTACCTCCGCGCACGCCTCGTATCGGTATCAACCGTACTCGACGCATCATAGGCCGCAATATTATTCTTCTTTCACGTCAGAGTACCCACCACATCCATATACCCATTCTTACCCGTATTCATATACTTCGACACCTGGATCCTCTGTGTCAGCACGTCATCGTCCCAGTAAGAGCGTGATTGGATCCGCTTCGTCGCTGCAGGCAGATGGTGCTACAGCGGATGAGGAAGAGAGAGATGAAGTTGTGCCCTTGGAGGGGAGGCTTGTGGCAATCATGCAGGATACAGTGGCGAGGTTTGCGGACGCCCTTAGTGTGTCTGCATCATCAGCTCAACGAAAGGGGAAGGAAAGAGAAACCCCATCTATGCCATCAGGACAGCCAGGCTCCGAACCATGCGCAGATGAAGGGAGTGAGGCAGTTACACGACAGTTGACGGCGCACGAAGCAGATCGACAGTCCCTTGACTTAAATTCGATGCTTAGCGAGATGAAATCGTTTAAAATTAGCATGGAGAAGAGATGGGACGAGAGAGAGCGAGAGGTGGCTAGGATGCGCGACGAGAGGGAAGAGGAAGTCACGAAGATGAGGCACGAAATACATGCTCTGAGAAGGCGAGTCCACACGCTAGAGAGCCGGCGGGACGTGTCACAGATATTGGATGTGGATATGGTTAACATACCTGTTTCGGAGAACGGGCTCCCGATGTCAGAGAGGTTTTCGCCTGGGTCACCTATCGACCTCATGCAGACCTTGTATGGAGATTTTGTCGCCACACCTTCGAGAGATTCAGACCCCCGTATAGCACGGTCATCTTCTTCGACAGGGTTCTCTTTCTCTGTCAATGGTGATAGCCGTGCTCCTGCCTCACATCCGCTTGCACATCTTATTGGACTGGATTATGATCTTGATGATCAGCAAGAAAACCCGACCGTTGTCAAGGTTCGCGATTCCCATTCTCCAACACTCGCTCTGCAGGCTGAAGGCCTGGATCGTGAGATAGTTTCAGACAATGAAGACGAGGAAGATAACGATGTAGAAGACATTTCGGGGTTGGCACCTAGTAGAATGTCGATCGACGACTCGTCTTCAGGTCATGCGGGGGTGCCACTACCCATCAAATCACAACGAAAAGGCCATATGATGTTTGTCTCCATTGATGACTAGCTTTCTTATTTTGTTTTCGCATCTGGTTTCGATTGAATTGTACTTAGCTATGTATGTCCATCACTTAAAGAGTCGGTTGCTGTCATAATCTACCATAAAGTATGTTTGTAGTTGTTGGCTATTTGACATTGAAGTTGCTTAATCCAGCAGGGAAAGCGACAGGCAAGAGACGAGTGCCCTCTTCGTGACCTCGAAATCGCGGATCGAAAAATATTTAGCTCTAAGCGAGGCCGCAAACGAACGGCCCCCCATGAGGCGACGAGAGCTCGACAAAAACATGAAAATGGACACACCCGGAATTGAACCGGGGACCGCCCGCAAGACGAAGAGGTGCTAAGCGGGCGTGATAACCAACTACACCATGTGCCCATATTCACTCGACATTATGTAGCATATTCACCTAAATGTGGTATATAGTGCACTCTTTCGTTGAGGCTAGCGCGAGCAATTCATAAGTATTGGGCTAGACACCCATATGTTAATATTGAGCTGAGAAACGGAGGATTCAGCCCCGAATGCAGTGCTTCAAAGAGATTGTCAAGGTTCCTATGTCACCAGCATTCTAAAGAGTACTTTTCCTTCGACAATGGACTAAGTTATGAAGTCGATCGGATGAAGTTTGAACGTCGTTAAAATATATTATTCTACTTAAAATTCGTTGGTCCTTGGGAAGAGACTAACTTTTTGAGTGCGCCACAAGTCAACTAGTCCTGTGGGATGTATCCTAAGCCTTAACAGTGAATGAGAATACAAGGGTAGTATGCGCTCTGTTTTTGCATCCCACTTCAATGGCGGTAGACATCACTCAGATATGTAAGCCTCGTTGTATGCAAGAATCTGGGTCACGATCAGATCCGTCAATATACAGCATCCATTGTCCTCGTTCCTGATGGTCCGCCTGCTGCCCACACGTCGCATGGTGTAAACGCCATGGCCAGTGGTCCAACAGATAGCCTGATATAGAGACTTCAATCATGAAGAGTTATCCCATTTTGGCGTTTTCTTCGCAGAGCCCTGAGACCACACGACACAGTTCTCGATCTGAGATGTTTCCAGTGACTGTGGGTTTGATTCCTAAGAGATCCTTGAGAGCTTAAACAGGTACACTAGCCAGCATTGTTGTTTTTCTCCCACGAAAACCAGTTCCATGATGACTTTGAAGGTTTTAACCAAGCCACACACCTGCATAAAGACTTCTATTTCCTTTCGTAACAATGCTTGCCAGGCATCCTAACATCTTGCTCTGTATGGTGCGTCGACTCAATCTAACAGCTGTATGCTGAATCAAACACTCCGTGAAGCACGTCTGAACCTTATCATCCCTACGCGCAATTTTTTGTTAGCGCCGTTTCCAGGGGTTCATATCTCTGTTAATACCGAAAAAAAAAGAATAAAATTTGGACTAAAATAACATATGATAAAACTTTGAGACCGCACCGTTTGCTTTTTAAGTGAATCCGAAATGTTGCAGGCAGGATGAGTCATAGGGTAGAAATCGCCACAAAATTCCGAAGTCTCCATACTACGAGTTAATTTTGTTCCAACATCTCTGCGCGTTACAACAAGTTCGAAAACCGCGGAGAGGTTTATCCCGCAGAAGTAGTTACGAGAATACCGTGATGACGCCGGACACCAACGTATTTAAATTCAATGCAAATGAAAATAGCATTTAAAACCGCGCATTCAATGGTGTCCGTGAGCGTGAAGGCGAGGGGTCCTCCGAGCAGCGGAGTTTTCTGAGGCGCAAAGCGTTCCCGACTCGAGCGTGATATTCCCATATAGAATCTCGTAGATGTAAGCAACTATTTACCACCCTTGTGAGCTATTGCCTGGCAGTGCCGAGATAAATTGAATAGCTGTACACAGTTGGGAAGGCCGGTGTCTTCGGAGTTGATGTACTTCTAGTTGCGCTTGGCAGAGAGGTTATAACTTACAGTAGCCCGTCGCGCCAAGTAATCTTTGGATAAACGGCCATGCAATCGCGTCACGAAGGAGGATACTTGGCTAAGAGCTCGTGCTCTCGAAACATTGCCAATTACATGGGACGTCCTCAGAGCGGGAACTGCCGAGCACATAGTGGTTCTCCGAATGTTGATTCCGACAGCAGATGTACAGCTTGAGAAAATCCATCCATGTTCGGTAAAATACAGACGACAAGACACGAGAAGTGATCCAATCTCGCGCCATTTGGCCTTGTTATACCCGTCGGCACTGCCCTTGCCGTAGGCTGGTTGGAAAGCAAAACCAGGCCGACTTGAGGTTGGACCCGAACATAGCATCAACCACCTTCGCGCGCTTCAGTCGCTGCTTCATACTACAGCCACCCAATGGGCAGGAGAAAAATAGAAATACAACCGATTGCAGTGAGTACACGACTTTGACAGTTACAAGCCATTCATGCTTTTTTGCATCTTTGTGATCTACTGTAATCCTCCTCGTCTACACGTCTGATGACGTTTCTGTTTCTCCGTAGCATGAACGCAATCGCTCTGTTACTTTCCTCAAGGTATGGTGTTGTCTCTTTTGGCCACAATTCTTTGCTATTTTTGACTGAAATCTCGATCTGCTCCTCAATTTTATCGCTGGGTCTTTAAATTATCTTTGTCAGAGAAAAAATGGACTATTCAAAAAAGCCTATGAACTCGGCGTACTATGCTCAGTCGATGTCGCAGTTATCGTATTCGGTAAGTCATCTTTAAAAATGACGTCTTTAAGCGAAGTTGCTGACCCTGAAATGGAACTATTTTTGCCAACAAGAGGAACGTCCGGGACATCATGTAAAGCTTTTTCAGTACTGTTCTACGGATGTTCAAGGGATGATACAGCGACATCTTCGGGTATGCATTTTAATCATGCTCAATGAACATATATAACATGCGATTATTTAGCACGATGGCGAGAAAGACACCCGAGGTCCAGCTGACTTCGCCCCAGGTGGCTCAGCAAAGACAGAGGAAGTCGATGTCGATAACGGTGACGATGACGATGGAGATGACAACGATGGGGCGCCCCTATCTGTCCACGGACAAAAGCGTAGGAACGATGGCTTACAACTAGATGTGAGGAATCCTTACTCATCCAATAAGCCATAAAACTCATGTGCGCGTCCGAGCTACAGCCTGATTACATTCCACCCCGATCAGCGACTTCCCACTCGTTCCCCCCGAACCCAGCAGCGTCTATGATCCAACGACAGCAGAATTTTCCTCCGCGATCTGGACAGCAGATGCCACATCGTCCATATGAGCCAGATCATCGTCAGCTTCATCTCACACGAGACCCAAAGCGAGCACGATTGGGTATGGAGCCAACAAGTTCGGCTAGCCTGGGGCCATACAGCAGCTCTCAGTTTCGCATTCCCGGGCCTCCTGCATCACTTTCGCACAGTGGCCATGGGAGCCCTATCCATACACAACAACCGTCGTTTCAAGACTATGGCCAATTCTCAACTTCACAGAATTTTGGTTCTATGCATTCACCCTCTTCGGACAGATCCACAGGCATTGGTGATCGCGGATTGACGGTACCACGTACGATCTATGGGAATGTTGGGCCAGCTTCAGCGGGCTCGGGAGGTTTCCTTGAAGGCGATGGGCGCCGACGATCTGGAACGTCACCTAGTACCTTGGGAGCCAGCCTAGAATGGCCAACTTCAAAGCCAGGATCATCATTGTTGTCCCCAGAACGTGAACGTAGGGAAATGGAGCGGGAGAAACACATTGAACGCACGACATCTGGGTCTTCAGGAGGATCCAACCCAAGCCCTAATACGGCTGGTCCAGGAGGAGGACCCGATTGGTTGGACTTCTTGTCAGGGAACGGCAATGCAACGTCTAGTTCTGGAGTACCAGCAAAGTCTCCAGGGGGCGTTAGTTGGGACAGAAATGTCTCCAGTCGAACGCGGAATGTTGGAGACGGTACGGCACCAGGAAATGGGCAGGGGGAGATGGATCCCATGTCGTTGTTCGGCCTCAACTCCGATGAGATGAAGAAGGAGGGTTGATAACGGACGTCAAAGTTCGGTGTAATTGTGAATAGACTCGCTGGTCGACTGGACTTTGACCTAGTCCTTTTCTACCTCCATAGGACCACTTCAATATGGTTGTTTTCCGTTATGTACTGCTTAGTTTGCCATCCTTGAGTTTAATGATTGAAATAAACCCCCGAGTTTGGCTGAAACTGAGTTGATAATCAAGGCTTAGAGATAATCGCATATCTTGCCGATCGGCGACGGATGCTGTGTTTGTTACCTAGGCGAGGTTCTGGAGTTCTGTCAAGTATTTAATTGTATGCATGGCTATTTCATTATACCTCAAGCTTTTTGTGTGCATATACGCAACAACTCTCGATATATTTCACCTTCCACAGTTGACAGAGTGTTAATACACACTCGCAACACAAGGGATTCATTTGAGCACGGCCTCATCGCCTTCGGCTAAGAGAATATCACCCCCATCATTTGTTTCATGACACTCCCATCACTTACATATATACCTGCCAGCAGCGCAATGATCTTGTTTCCCAAGGAAGCTGGTCTTTCTCCCTGCTAGTGAATCGTTGACGATCGTCCGCCCCAACCATGCACACCAAAACCATTACTCTTGTACTTTTCGCATTCATCGCGGCTACTCAGGCTGCCCCTCTGTCTGATAGAACGAGCCCTTCTGCTTTACAGATTCGAGGAGATGCCGAGTATGTGACGAATCTAACTTCGTGTTGTCTCCCACTCACCTCATCACTCTTATAGGTGTTCAGACGACCCTAGTCTGCCCCAATGTGCTATGGTAACAGGGGATCATGATGATGGTGGTAAGTTGCGGTTGCGTAATATGGGCTTCACGCTTTAATACGTGCCATCTAGGATCTCCCAAACAACAGCCACCGACAAGTGTTCCCGCTCCAGCTGATGCAGCCACCCCTCATCACCCTCCCCCACCTCCCCCACCTCCAGGAGTTGCAACGTCCATTTTCCAAGATCACAGTTATATTTGGCTGGGGCATTCCCTGTCCAAATTCTTTGCTACGTTGTTCTGAGGACGCGTTCGTATCTGGCTGTTTTAGAACTCCCTTCATTCGAACTTAATGCATTAATGTTGATTTGGTTGCATATATTTGAGGATGAGGCATACATCTCGTTACTACTCTATGTCAAGATGAGACCTGGCGCTGGGACTAATGATACTCGTGTGGTCAGTACCCGTGACAACATACTCTCCATCGCGCGAGCCCTTCCTCCAATTGACACGGTTCATGGGGATGGAATTTATATGCCCAAGACGATTGGGATTATTTCTCAAGTGTTCTGCCAGGTCATGGAAGCTCAGCATGACGCGAGATATACTGATAGATGTTGCAACAAGGATAAGGCT